GTAATTTGCTACACTTGTACACAATGCATCTTTCTGATGGGAAAGAGATTGTTAGTAATGGAGACTGAGAATCCCATTGCTAGCAATATACCCAACCAGGTCGACCTCCTCGCGGTTTTCCCTGGAAACTATCATGGTTAATTCCTGATGAATTCATCATGATGGGCTAACTGGCCTGTTTCCATTCTCATCTATCACCCTTCAGTGGTGCTCCGCCAGCGTATCCCGTTAGCACAGACTACAGAATTACTGGCAATGGGTCAGTTAGAACCCATTGCTAACAATTCCTTTCCCCCTATTTTAGGTACAGGCCTCTTCATGATTCCGCCAGATGACTTAAATTTTAAACGCTTAAATTTTATCATATTATTTAAATTTATTAAATTATATAATTTACTAGCTGACTCGGCAAACGTTGTTTTACCATATACATTATTTTTAGACCTATACATGAAAATTTATCGTACTACAATTATTATATTGGATTGCCATCATGCAACCCTATTGTGACATATAAAAATCGCGATTAAAAAACAGGAGTTGATCGTAAATGGGTGAAAATTTGAGGTTGTATGTATTTTTCAATGCTAAATCATAATAAAATAAAAATGGAAAAATTTGTCAAAAAAAATTTTTTTTTTGGTGAGGGTCACCCTTATCATTGAGGGGTATGAAAAATAAATGTTGGCCGATTCTCAGACCTACCCAATATGCACACAAAATTTCATAAAAATCGGTAAAGCCGTTTCGGAGGAGTTTGGTAACAAACACCGTGACACGAGAATTTTATATATACGATATATCTAAAAAAATATGTGAAAATATAATATTTATAACATAATTTATATTTATTAATTTTATTATTAAACTATTTATTAATTAATTTTACAATATGAATATAAATAATTATAAACTACAGAATATATTAAATAAGTATATAATAATAACAATTACGATATGAATACATACACACCAATACTTAAATAATGAATAATAATAATAATACAAAAAATACGTAGCTATCGTGATACAATTTCAATTACCGGATAATATTGTAACAGATCCTTAGACTATTTCTAAAGTGAAAGAAGTGTTGTCCTCCCCTCTCGTATTTGTTGTGCCCAACAGGGTCCGTAATTGAATTAAATAAATAAATAAATATTTTTCAAAACATTCAAATAAACAGTAATTTGATGTAGGTAGGCTGAAAACGCTTCAAAATCTGTATCGCCAAAAAATTGGCAATCCACATTAGACAATAAATGAACATAATCTTACACAAACGGTATATTAATTTAAAATTAAAATTCAGGCGAGCAAATCTGCATAATACACTTAGTAAGTAACAGCTAATAATATATAAACCAAACCATAGTATGCTACTATGTTATTGGCTGCCAAACATAAACAATTTCAACTTAACAAGTTATTTAATTTCAACTTGCAACTTGAAATATTTAATCGTCTAAGAAACCCTTCATTTGTTACCGCATTCGAGATCCGAAACCTTTATCCTTCCCTGAACCGATTCAGATAACTCTCTCTCGTATTGATTTGATATTAATTTTGTTTTGAATGAATTCTCTGTTGTTCTTTGGGGGGCAAAGTCTAAGAACTTGTAAACATACGATACTGTATTCTATTCTGTATATATCAAACTGTTTATAATTACTCCTCTCCATCCAAAGGTTGCCTGGAGGAGATCGCTTTTAGCGATAAGGTCGCCCATTGTTTTCTCATTGTGATTATTTCTTGTAATTGTTTATATCTATAATAAGTTATCTAGAACGAGTATCTGTATATATATATATATATATATATATATATATATATATATATATATATATATATATATATATATATATATATATATATATATATATATATATATATATATATATATATATATATATATATATTCTATCTATCTACTTAGATTAGACTTAAATCTATCCGATTCTAGAATAAGGACATCCCAGTACGCGACCCCGGCCTCCCGAGCCGCTGCAATGTCCCAGTCCTTTCCGCAACTGCAGCGTCCCGTCCCCCCTCTCTCTTTTCCTTTCCCACATAAGTACCTTATTCCTCTCTTTTACAAATTTCCTCGCATTGTTAACGTTCCCTTCCGCTTTTCCTCAATCCTTTCCTCTATACCGTAGGTGACGGAAACCACCAACAAATGTTTTTTCAAAGAAGATTGACATCAGGCAGGCGGCCGGTCGTAAAACTAAAAGCCAAATCTCTTTGTAACATTGATAAAAGCATATTACGCCGACCCCAAAATAATAATTGGGATAAGGGCAGGATGGTGATGATGTAAGTTGATGATGGGCAAGGAGATGATGATGATGATATATTATTTATTACTCCATTTTATATTTTCGGTTTTACTATAAAAAATGTTTAAAACACTAATGATCTAAACATTGTTTGACAAAACTTTGTTCGAGTGATTAAATACTGTTTGATTAGTGTAATAATGTTTGTATATAAATATCGACCGTTGCACCCAATAAGCATAAAAAAAACAAATTATTTTGTAACTAAATTTTATCAGAAAAAAAAAAATACAAAATCATATTAATTAATTAAAAACTAATAATTTACAATGAGATGTGATATCTTATACGTGACTTCACCGAAGTTTGTAACTGTTCACCTAATATGTATTGAACACTTGTCTACCGCAAATTTAACATTTTTGTAGTAGGGTCGTTAAAATCTTATAATAAATATCATCAGTCAGACGTTAACTGTCCACTGCTTAGGTCTTCCCTTGGGGGGGGGGGGGGGGGGGGTCCTGTAGTTCCTGTGTTGGTAACCACAGTTAGGCTTCGATAACTTTTTAAGATAATATAATAAATGTATTTTTCTTTAAATAAAAATAATAAAAAAACTAATAAATAAAATATAAATGAATACAGTAGAACACTCTTATACCTGTATGCGCTTTAAATTGTAAACTTTTTAAATGCAATAGAATGACAATAAAAAAATACGTCAATACCTAGTATTTTTTCCAACTTCAATTTTCAAATTCCGAACTGTCACGTGCACACGATTGTGTTTCCCGCTAACCAGTGTAATTGTTTTTGTCTCGCGTCTCTGATTGCATTCCCATTTTGTTAGTACGCGTATATGTTATACTTTGTCTATGGCAACTGTGACGGCTAAGAACAAGGAATTACATAGAAGGAGTGACGAAAAAAAACTATAAGTCATATGGTTGCCTCCTTTCTTCTTATGCAAATATAATTAGTAAAAAGAGGACGAAAGATACACCTATACCCATAGAAAATATTTGATATGTCAATTATTTGACAATGACAAATTTTACATTACTAGATTATATATAGACACAGTTTATGTTACGCAAGCAGGTTGTATCTTAAGTATTTTATAACATTTTCTATACACTTCATGAATTGACAATTTTATCACTCCTTCTATGTAATTCCTTGTTCTTAGTGTTAGTTCTAAACAATAAACAACATACGTTACTTTTAATGTATATATTTGAATCGTAGAAAGAAGATATTATTCTTAATCTATAATTTGAACTAACAGTGAATAAAAGTGGTAAAAACACGCATCAAATGAAATATGAATGAATGTTTGTTTTTTTTTATGTTATGTTAAATAGCAAACAATCTGACTGTTCACCTAATGGAAAGTAGTAACCGTCGCTTAAAGACATAAACAGCACCATCGACATACCAGAGTATACTGTTACACTCATCACTCCCTTCATGCATTGCCATTTCTGAGGACTGTATTACTGTTTCGCCCAAGATACCCGTCAGTTGCCATTCTTGAAGACTCAATTGTTACTTCTCTGAACCCTGTAAATTCACTGCCATATCCCTTCAAACCGAAACACAGCCATGTAAACACACTTGCTTCACGGTAGAAACACATATGAGGCAGAGGTGCCCAAGCAAATGACTTTTGTACAAAATCTTCCTCTGGTAAGGGACTCATGTCTTTGAGTGACAGTTACCAATTTCTATCAGGTCGACCGTCAACTTATTTGCCATTCTAAGTTGAAAAATTAATAAAAAAAATAATATATAAAAAAGGCCAGTCAACCAAGTTACCAGCAAGTACAGTAGAATTAACCGTTCGTTCTAAATTAATATTTTTTTTTTATTATACATTTATTTACATAGACAAATCGTTTATTTGATGTGTCGCAAAACATTTAGTAAAGGTAAGTATTATAATATGTCCTAACGGCTGATTCGCCCTAAATAGCAACACTAAATCTAACCCTCGAGAATTAATTGCCCTGTAATAGAATTTACACCCTTGGCTGGACACGACCGTCATAATTTATTGCACAGAAGAATTGATTTGTTTATAGACGATTACTCGCCATGATTAATTTTGTGGTAAACGGCGTGAGTTCATAATAATTGTAATTAATTTATAAATAACTTCACTGGTGCTCCGCCAGCGTATCCCGTCAGCGCAGGCGGAGTTACCATACCATTTTCATCTAACAAAAAAAAAACATGGTATACTGCTAGCATGGTACTAGTGGTTCGCATACTGACAATTCCTTCCCCCTGCGGGCAGTATATTGACCCCGTCTGTGCTTTCGGCATACGCTGGTAGCTAACGTGGGCAGAATATTAGGTGATACAACATACTTTTTTTATACAACTTAGAATGACAAACAAGCTGACGGCCCACCTGATGGAAAGTGGTAACAATCGCCTATAGACATGAGCAGTACCATGGACATAACAGAGTATACTGTTACGCCCATGATACACCCCATGCGTTGCCATTCCTGAGAACTCAGATGTTATTCCTATATACCCAGTAAATTTACGCCATATCCCACCCTTCAAACCGAAACACAGCCATGCTAACACAGCTGCTTCACGGTAGAAACACGAATGGGACAGAGGTACCCAAGCAATCGACTTTTGTACAAAGTCTCCCTCTGGTGGTAGGTGATACAACATAGTAATAAACAAATAATTCTTGTACAGCGGCGGTGGTGGTAGCGTTCTTCGTGTGCTGGGCGCCGTTCCACTTCCAGCGGCTCTTCTTCATCTACGGCACCGGCTCCAAGCACTACCACACCATCAACAAGCACCTGTTCAGTGTCGCCGGCGCCTTCTACTACGTGTCCGCCACCGTCAATCCCATATTGTACAACGTCATGAGCCATAGGTTAGTATGATTTCACGCTCACTTTTTTACTTTATCCGAACAGTAAGTGTTTTATATTATTCTCAATTTCGTATATAATATAGTATATATGTATATTTGTTATTCATATATATTTATTCGTTTATATATGTAATTTTAGTATGTATGTATATCAATAATTAGTAGTACCACGTTCGAGTATTCTGACACTTCCCTATGGTTGACTGGGAGAGAATGCTTTTAGCATTAAGTCCGCCATGTACAAATATTTGTACTAATGAATAAATGAATAAATAAATTATATATATATATATATCCTCACTTGTCTGTCCTGTCCACTGCCAAACATAGCCTCCCCCGTGAGGTAAACTATCATTGATTATTAAATCAGCTATTTCAGTCCACTGCTGAAAATACACTTCCCTATTTCCACACATTCCCTGTTGGAGAGTTTTGACTGCAGTTGCCATATTTGGCAGGCTAGTTGGCAACCACAGTTTCGCGTTTGGTGGTGTTTTAAGAGGGACGCTACTGCCTATCTTTTTAGGGATCTTATGATGTAAGATAAGCTTCCTCAGTCACTTACGACACCCACGAGAAAGGAATGGGTGGCCTATTCTATGTCGGGACCTACACCGTTTTCTTACTTATGATACATAAAAATACAAATAAGTCAATGATTCTGATGGAAAGCAGTGTCCATCTTCTAAAAATATGAACAGCACCGTGGGCATCACAGAATATGCGTTACCGGGCATAACAGCTAATCTTAAGGAGGGAAAGGGATTGTTAGTAATGGAGTGTAACAGTCTCATCGCTAACAGTATACCCTATCAGTTTGACCTCCATCCGGTTCATCCTGAAAAAGCGGATAATTCTTGTTGAACTCATCATTATGAGCCAAGTGATCTACTATCATCTTCACCTATCGTCATCTCTCTCTGATGCACCACCAGTGTTTACCAATAGCGCAATCGAGGTTACTATTCCATTTTTATCCATTAAAAATACATCTAGTCCTCAAAAATAAGGAAGCATGAGAGGTATAATGGAATATCATGTGAGGTCTAGTGTGCTAGTACTTTCTATCGGTGATGGTTACCACTTAGCATGGGGTTAGCCATTAGCTTCTTTGCTTAAAAAATAACTTTATCTAAATAAGCACATTTGGTCCCATTAGGAACTGCGACTTCCACTGTTATAAACATATATCTTGGGCAATAAAAATATATTTATGCTAATAAACCTATATTTAATATATGGTAATAAACCTTTATTTATAGTAAAAAACATATTTATATATGGTAATAAACCTTTATTTATAGTAGGAATAAACATATTTATATATGGTAATAAACCTTTATTTATAGTAATAAACACATTTATATATGGTAATTAACCTATATTTATAGTAATAAACATATTTATATATGGTAATAAACCTATATTTATGGTAATAAAAATATATCTACGGTAATAAATATATATCTGTGGTAATAAAAAACATAGATGAAAAATGAAATGTTTTATGTACACATCAGACTGAAAATATTGTAGTTTAAACGCGAAAACGTTACTCAAATAAATTTCGCTCTCAGATATAGGATAAATACGTTCTTATATATTATAGTAATTTCTCTGAGTTTACTTCGCAACAAACCGTTTCTTTTTTTATTATCTTTTTGCACTTCATTAAACAATTTATCCACGTCATAAAGTAGAGAGGTATAACGTTTTTCAACTACATTAATACCTTACTTTGCCTTTGTGATTCTATTCTTCATATCTATAGGTAAGTAACCAAAATGACTTGGGGGGTAAGGGATTGTTAGCAATGGAGTTTGACAGCCCTATTGCTATCAATATGCTCTATTAGGTCGACCTCCACGTGGTTCCCCCTGGAAACCATCGTGAACAATTCTTGTGGAATTTGTCACGATGGGCTAACTGACCTACTTCATCCTCACCTATCATCCTTCACTGGTGCCCCGCCGGTGTATACCGATAGCGCGGGTGGACTTATCATTCTATTATCACCTATAAAAAAAAACAATATGACTTCTTATCAAGTAGGCTGTCTTTACTCTTTATATAACGTTATGTGTAATACAAAGAGTAAATAATCCTTTACAAGGCTTCCATTCATAATAATTAACTAAGGAACCCTAAAAACCGCAAGCGTGAACAAAGCTGTCAGCTCTAATACAGTTTAGTTTACAACCGCCAGTTATATTTTATAGCGCGCGCTTTGGAGTAGTGTTGGCTGATAAATCGATTGGCAATTAATCGATTACAAATCATCGGTTGTATCGAATAAATATTAATATGAATTTTTATATAACAATATTATTAATAGTATATTATATTGAAGACTTAATCTAAACAAAACTGCCGATTAATATTCGTTTAGATCGTTTCAGTTTTTTTTTTTATACAACTATAGCCCACCTGATGGAAAGTGGTAACCGTCGCCTATAGACATGAGCAGTACCATGTACATAACAGAGTATATTGTTTCGCCCATGATACACCCTATGCGTTGCCATTCCTGAGGACTCAGTTGTTATTCCTCTATACCCAGTAAATTTACGCCATATCCCACCCTTCAAACCGAAACACAGCCATGCAAACTTTTAATTATTATTATTTGTATTGGAATATATTTGTCTGATGGAAAACGATCACTGTAATCTATGGATGCCTGTAACACTTATATTTAATGGATGATAATGTAATGGTAACCCCGCCTGCGCTATCGGTATACACTGGCGGGACACCAGTCAATTGTGACGGATTCAACAAGAATTAATCACAATGGTATGGTATATTGCTAGCAATGGGAATTAAAATACTCATTACTAACCCTCCCCCCCCCCCCCACCACATCTGCAACTTCACGGGTGCAGCTGCAACAGCACTTCTACGCGGTGCTGATCCTGAAGAAACTCTAACACTTTTTTTGAATAATCTCATCCTGTAGTTTCTAGGGAAAACCTCTGCAGTGAAATCATTTCACAGCCTGAACATTTGGGGGGGAAAACTTCTCTGAAGCCTCACTGTACTCAATAATTACTTATTAAGCAGTACTATAATATAATCTGTTACATTGTTCTATCGATTATATCTTAGTCAATTATTGTCGATTAATCGCTTATAATCGAATATAATATATTAATGATCACATAATCGGTATTTAACGATTATTAGCAGCATTACTCTGGCGAAAGTCTCGGAAGAATTAATTAAATTTGCTAATAAATGGCTTAAGAGATGTAATTAAGCTATAATCTTAATATCCATCTGTATTGACAGACAGCGACGCCATAAGAAGAATAGAATATGTCACCATTCCTTTTCATCTCCGGGAAGTCAGGGGAATGAATAATGGAACAAGCACAATACACCGCCAGCATTGTAGGGCTACTCGTAATCGACTCTGATCGATTTATATTCGAATTGTGAATGAGTTATATTTTATATTCTCAGAATCGTATTATTCTTTGAACGATTACGTAGCTCACAAACGTGCTTGGTCTTAGTCGATCATGAATGAATAAATGATACAATGAATGAATGAATGAATGATAGAATGAATGAATGATTGATTCTGATGAGGATCTTGAGGAACTACTCGATTTATTTAATTAATTTTGTAATAAATAAAAAACGTTGTCCTGTTGTACAAATATTTTTAAAGAGAATAAAACGTTTTCTGTTATTTGTGGTCACCATGGCAACGCATGCGTTTCTCAGTTGCCATTGTTATTATCTATTTATTTATTCGAATAGTTGTGTTGTTGAATAATTGAACTAAACAAGGATATAATATAAACTATATATATATATATATATATATATATATATATATATATATATATATATATATATATATATATATATATATATATATATATATATATATATATATATATATATATATATATATATATATATATATATATATATAGTAGATGATAACATGTTTGTATGTATACAATGGACATATATAACATTGAATGAACGAATCAATGAAAACTTTTTATTATTCATTTTAACGATATGTGATGTGATATGATATATATGATGTATATGATATGTGTTAATCTTTGTTATCTGTATTATTATTCTACACAAAATAATTAATAATTGGCTTAATTATAAAAGTACTTAATAATCATACATGGACTTTTAAACATGCGACCATATTATTTTAGACATACCTAATACATTTAAATAATATTTTACCAGAGGAAGACTTTGTACAAAAGTCGATTGCTTGGATACCTCTGTCCCATTCGTGTTTCCACCGTGAAGGTGTTTGCATGGCTGTGTTTCGGTTTGAAGGGTGGGATATGGCAGTGAATTTACAGGGTACAGAAGAATAACACCTGAGTCCTCAGGGATGGCAACGTACTGCTCATATCTATAGGCGACGGTTATCACTTTCCATCAGGTGGGCCGTCAGCTTGTTTGCCATTCTAAGTTGTATAAAAAAAACTAAGATTATAATAGCATTATAGTTTATTGTCTGATCTCGATCAGTTTGTTTATAAAAATTGTTAAAAATAATGGGGAACGTAGTACGATTGCTTCTAAGATGCTAAATTGGTTAACCACAATACAACCACAAGGTAAAATAAAAAATAAAAAAAATAAAAAATTATAGTTATTGTGGAATAAATTAGTTAATAATAGAAAACCTTGTAAACTTGTGAAAAGCTATCAGTTTATAATTATTTGCAATAGATCAAGATAAAGAGAATGCGACGGTAATGCTTAAATATGTTTAAGTTGCTTAAGTAAGTAGGTTAGCTACTTGAGTTTACTTGCTTGCTTGTTTAAAGTAAATTTTACTTGAATAAAAAAATCTTTGTTTTTTACTTCTTTCAGAGAGATGAATACAAAAAAATAATATAAAATCACGTGGTATAAAAAAAGGTTATTGCAGTACGTTAAACATTTACTCTTTACAACACTGAAAGTGGCGCGTTTTGTTATAATAAATAAAGCTGGTTTTATTT